TTGGTCTTTATTAAAATTTAAAATGTAAACTATATTATTTTAATTCAAAGTAAAAGATGAACTAAAAAAAACACGATTGTAAGTACAATCGTGTTTTGGAAGAATTGTAAGTGCAAATTATTATTACCTATTGTATATTTTAGAAAAAAAAATAAGACTCATTCACCTGAACCTTTTAATTTAAACAGCTACTTAAGTGTTTAATTAAAAAAAGTGGCTAGTAGCGGATGGAAGCGGACTACCCAAGACTTTACCGATAGATGGACATCGTTGGGGCAGGCCTTCGTTCAGCTGTGAACGGCGCCTATCGCTGTTTATGATTTAATGTTGATAAGAATATAATGTACACAATACGTTATGAAAACTTACCGTAATTACAGGCGTCGTGGTTGATTTGAGTATTTCAATATGGATTTCGGAGTAGTACGAACTATAACCTTATCCTTTGACTTCGAAAAGTAAATAATAAAATCATGAAATTTGTTTATTATAGTTGGTAAACTATAATAAACAAATTAAATCAATCAAAATCTACTGCAGATGAAAATTCACTCTTCACTTAAAATAAAAAGGACAATTCTGACGCTTTGTCGAGCAACTTTTTAGCACTTCTAGTAAATTGATGCTCATGCTGCAGCTTGTAAATGCAGCGCCTGGCTTTGAGATGGAGCAGAGGCGCGAACACTCAACGTGGAGTGGGCGCGCGTGACTATCGACTGCTGCCATCAGCCTCCATGTAATCTGCATCGACATTTTAAAATACCATTTCAATTACCACCTTTGAATTTACATATTTTTGTATCCTGTTAAAACGGAACTTTAAAGTTACTAGTATAATTGTTGCATAATAAAAATCTCTTTTTTAGTTTGGATGTAATATGTGTGAAATATGTCTATATATGTGAATGTAATATTTCTTAAGGAATAGCTTGTTATTCGTTTTAGATTCTTCATTTGTCACATTCCTAACAATTAAAACTTTATTTCTTTTTACAAAGACAACTCCCGCATCAGGAATATATCCTGTGTTGCGGGGGACTTTACAAACATGCATGAAACGGACACAAAGAACACTCAGACTTAGAACAACAATTTGTGGATCACACAAAGTGTCGTCTCATGTGCGGATCGGACCCACAACACTCAGCGTAGTAGGTGCGGTGTGAAATAATTTGACAATAGCATTGTAGGATGTTGGTAGTGCGAACGAGTTTTTACAGAAACTATCGCTAAAGTCAGTGTCAGAATCACTATTATTATTAGGAATTAAAACGTTGTAACTACGCGTTAAAACTAGGATAGTTAGGATATACAATGTATCATTTTGTGAACGGAGTACATAAATTTTCGCTAATATTTACATCATAGTTACAATGTTTTATTGTCAATATTTTTCCTAAAAGTCTGCTGTCAACTCGTACAAGTACTAAATATCATCACAGGAAAATAAAATATGCTAATACATTGCTAATTTCACATTCGAGTCATATCTATAACATTTCAAATTACTACTAAACTTTGTAACGGTTTCAACGTGAAATATACCAACCAGGTAATACAATAACGAATGATAGTAAATTAATAATAATAAGAATATCGTTACGCCATTATTGTTTGAAGTATGAATAAAATTAGGCATGTTTTTTAATTTAGTATTCCGTATATGATAGAATCGTTTTTTTCTCAAACCGCTCTTTTACAATCCTTCATCGAGTCATCCCGCTTACCCAGAAAGCGATAGGTAGCAGAACTTACAGACGAAAGCTCTAGAGGTGTTACGATTGTTCTGAAGTACCGATAACCGCTTATCATTACGCTGCAAGCATGCTTGACATAAACCGGTGTTAGGTAATACTTTCCTTGTTTTTCAAGTAAGTGAGGTTACCGGAGCTCAAACCTAGGGGAGGTTTGGGTTAGTAATTAATACATCGGTTTGAGATCGCGGATCGCGTAATTGTATGACCCTCGAGTCGTGAATTGATGGCTTCACATAAAAAGGTGGTGATAGATGCTACCATCAGCGGCTTTTTAATGTTAATGGTTGCTTGAAAAGGTTTTGTCCAACACAAAATAATATGGATTTAATAGAAATCTCCCACAGCGGGTACATTTATGTATTATCTACGTATCGTGAAAGTCAAATCATAAGTCCTTTCTAAAAACTTCAAAACACGTAACTATCTATAGGGTGCATTTTACTTCAGAAAGGTGATCAGGCTACGGGGGAGATTCATAATACGGTAATTTTTATTAAAAAAATGCTTATTACATTAATCATCATCATCATCATCATCAACAGCCTTTAATAGTCCACTGCTGGACATAGACCTCTCCTTAGAAAGGAGATTTTGGCTTACTATACCTTTGCAGTGCTGTTGTCCTGCGTAGCTCCCTTTTTCGGCTTTTACGACACCCACGGGATGAAAAGGGGTGGTGCCACTCTATATTCTTAATCCGTCACCACACGGATTACATTACTAAACGTGCAGTTATATGAAATGCTATCAAAAAGCCTCTATAAGATAACCTATGTCACATAATCGGTTTGGACTTTTTTTTCTTTTTAAAAGAAGACAAACATGACAGGCTGCTTTTATTTAATACCCGTCTGTATTGACATCTTAACATGTCTAATAAGAGCTAGTAGCCTAATAATGAATATGGACAACCACAACACAAACAAATGGAGAATAATACGAGAATGAGTTAAACGGATTGTAAATAAAAACCTATACGAAAATTAACTAAATTATAGAGTTTCAGTTCAGTCACAGATCCAGTCTAAATTAAGAATTATAAATATCGCCCGTTTCGTACCGAATATACAAAAACTGTAATCCTGAGACTAGTTTAGATTTTTTTTATATAAAACTTAATTTATACTGAATTTGTCATAAATGTTATCTTCTCTCGCGAACGAGCGACTAACGATAATGTCAATATGCACATTTGAAAATCATTATTATGTAGTATTTTTTTAATGAAACTTCATTGTATATCTAAGATAAATTCTACATCAACTTGTACTGCGTAATATCTTGAACTGAACTGAACTTTCTACATTTTCAAAGCATTCCCTTTGAGAAAACTACTTATACTTTACTTAAGTATGCTGGTTGGAACTTGAATAACCTACACAAATATAAAATAAAAGCTTTAATATATTTACAAAGCCTCGAAGCCACCGTTTTCCTTTCTGAATAATTTCATTTTCAAATAAAACATTCCAGCATTTATTTCATTAATATTTTAAACAAACTAATTTTCTTTGATAAATATTTTACGCTGGTAACCTTCATAGAAGCGCTATCTAAGATAACCAAAGGCTGATGGGCACCGTTAGCTGAAATTATCTATCCAAAACTCGTAATGGACATCGGCGAGTTGGCACACCGCGGGGAATAGACGTGACTTCCCAAATTCCAACTATTCCATAGAGCTTTATATTAGGACCTGACGACGTATTTTGAACACTAAACAGCTGTATTAATTTAGCGACAATCTATTGACATGAACTTGTCCAGTTGTGGGATATAATGTTTTGTATCTTATCTACACCTTCTATTATTAGTGGAGAAATTTGCATGGAGAATATAATCATGCTTTAATAAATTTAAAAAAAAATGTGCCAAAAATTGTAATTTTTGTGTGTTGATGTGAAATTTTGATTTTTATATTTTTAGTAGGTAGTAACCTACTAAAAATATAAAAATCAAAATTTAAAGTACACTGTAAAAAATTGTTGACAACTAAAAATAATAAAACAACTGTAGTAAAAGAAAAAAAAACGCACTTACAGTGTCTGTAATAACCTTCTCTCTTTCTGTATTTCATTTTATGAAATTCTTATTTGAATCTGTTTACCCATGATCTAAATCGTAGTAAAACGATAGCATAATCGGACAAATGAGCTCCAATAAAAATAGCATCACATCGACAATTATATAGACAAACTATATTAAATCGACATTTATAGTTTCTAACTGCAGTATCATACTATTCAGGACATTGCCGTTAAATAATTCTAGGCACATTTACTGAGTATTTCAATTTATCACAACTCAAATTAAATTCTTGCATTTCAAAATCCGTAACAATGAAATGCTTTTAAAACCATTAAACAGTCGAGTACATTGATCAAAGGGTTTGCGGGGTGAGCGGACGCGTCCTGCCGGTGTCCCCGTGCGAGACGCGCCGCCCGCCGCCGCCCGCCGCCATCCGCCCCGGGAGCCCGCCACTCGTCCGCTCTGCACGGAACTCAATCATTAGTGTGCTCACTCAATATGAAAGCGATTTCATCCCTGACGACTCCGCACCTTTGAAACTGACGCAATATTGTCGAAAGCAGTAAAACATTCTAGGAGAAAAAAATATATTGCCTAAGACGACGCTTCGAAGAAAATGAGGACGGAATGCCAGGAGGCAATCGTTCGAACGAGCCTCGGTAGCAATATGCCACCGCGTTTACGTTATCGATGATGCTGCCGGCGGAACTGTTCCGGTTGTAAACGTAAACGAGCGCCGAGCGGGTTACGTGCCACTTACTCCTACGGCCCGCGGTTGTAAACTCGAGAGTCTGCAACAACTTCGCTACAACTCTGCTCTGTTTTGTTTCTAGCTTGCAATATTAGTTTTAGTCAGAAAGCTATTTTTCAACCCGGCGTCGAAAGGCTTGTAAACTTTTGTAATTTAGTTAATTCGTACTCAACGTCTCGTGAAACCCTCATTTGTAGACAGATTGAAGACCTCGTAAAATATCGCCGAACGAATACAGCCTCCATTGTTAAAACAACATCAATCGAGCACTCGTTAGAAATGATTGGGGCCCGTCGAGTTTTTAAATTAATTTATGCCGACTTGGAAATGGAAATAAACTTGTCTGTACTTATTACAAAAGTTTTAGAAACATAAATAGGACTCAGAAAATCAATTAAGACCACTGCAGCTTTGATAATATTGAGGTTGTAACTAAAGTTATATTTTTTTTCGGACAGGTGCTGATGTTCCCCGAGGAGGGGTGGGCTCGCAGCGCTTCATCATCGTACTGGACGCTGCAGCCTTGTTGGTGGCGTCGTTCACGTTGCAAAGTTATTGAAGTGGCTGGAACTAGACGGTAACAGTGTATTTTTTTGTGTAATCCCTTAATGTGTCTAAAATCAATGTTTTTACAGTGCAGGATCCCGTAATATTGAAGTTTCCACTCTCCTTTTCAAACAGATAACAGTACAGTTGCAGTTGTAAAAAATATACATTTACACAAATTATTAGAGGATTTCAGGTAACTCATTTGGCATCTTACTATCTTTCTTTCAATTTCTGGACTATTTTAAGCCTTCTTCTCAATTCCACGCTCATGCCAAAACAATACAGTGAATTGTCACAGACCGGATTTCATCCTGGGTTTTGGGTTTCTTCAATAGCACATATTCTTGTCATATGAATGAATGCTATTGAAGAATATTCAACAAACCGATTTCTTATCGTCAAAACGATTCTCAGTCGGAGTACTATTGCTGTAGGCTTTATCTATTTCAGCTCTACATTTTTACTGTTTATTTGAGTATAAAATAAAGTTTCTTATTTTGGGTGCTTATTAGTGCATTCTAAACCACGCGCACAACAAATTTTATTTAACGCCTAATTTTCGAATGTTTTCAATTTATAGTTATGTTTTTGTTTGGTTGTATTGTTTCAGGATTATTTGTTAAATGTTACCCTCTTTTAACTGTAGGTAAACTTTCCGTCACTTATGTGTTTATTCTTACTAATATATTTTTTAGTTAAATTAAATCGCTTGTATTCCCGTTTCATAGGCGGGCAGAATAAGACAAATATAATTTGTTTTTTAAAAGAAAGAATATTACATACAGTATTCAATTGTTAACGATGTTATTTTGTGTATGTGACGAGTACAAAAGCACTAGGTTTTTTATGTTATTTTAAAATACAAAGATTAGCGGCATTTCCTTTGTGTTCGCAAGACGTCTTGGTAAGATAGCACTCTCAGCATTAGCACAAAGGGTGAAAAATTAATACATGAAAAAGTACATATTATAGTAATCGTATGATAACATATACAACAACATATTAGGATTCTTAGTAGAAAACTCCTGAGTTAATTATACACTGAGAACATTAATTTTGCACTCTTTAAAATTGACTATTTCCACGAATATTTTTAAAGTAGACATCACATCAACAGTCGTTAACGGTCCATTTCTGGATATAGGCTTCTCCTTAAAAAAGAGGTTTAAGTCGACCTTAAGGGCCTTATATGCTGCCTTAGGCACCTGAGTTATAGGCGTTCATGTGCGACGGTAGTCGCTTTACATCAGGTGACCAGTCTGTTGGTTTGCCACCACCTCCATAAAAAAAACCAGACATATCCTTACGTCTTTACTTGTATTGATTAATTTAGCATTGTACGTATTCAAGTAAATCTCTTTAGAAAAATAAAATATAAACAAGCAATAAGTACAAATTGAAAATACTCTCATTTCAAAAGTTTCTTCCAGATAAAATGACTCACTCACTATAATGTCTCCACCAAAGCACTGGAATGGTTTTCATCTTATCTTCGTGGATGTCGGCAGTCGGTCCGCATCGATGAAGCATCATCAAGTTGGTGTGATCTTGGCGCTGACGTTCCACAGGGTGGCATTTTATCACCTCTCTTATTTTCGATGTTTATCAATCTCATTACTCTTCATCTTCACTGTGCGTATCATTTGTATGCGGATGACCTTCAAATTTATTCACAGACCAGCCTCGATAATTTAGCAGAAGCAGTCGATAACATCAACAGTGATTTGGAGGCAAACAAAAACTGGTCAGAGCGGTTCGGTGTAAGTGTGAATCTCTCCAAGTGTCAGTCCATAATCATAGGTAGCCCCAGAAAGATGAGCAGATTAGACACATCAAAACTACCGGCGATCGTTTACAACGGATCCGACATACCGATCAGTCCATTTGTCAAAGATCTTGGCTTATGGATTGACTCCAGCCTCACTTGGCAACCACAGGTTGAGAACGTAAGTAAAAAAGTCACTGGAACCTTGCGATCACTGTATCGGCTAAAGAACTTCCTTCCACATACTACCAAATTAATGCTTATACAGGCTTTGATCTTTCCAATAATCGATTATGGTGATGTATGCCACCTCGACCTGAATGCAGATCTACTCAACAAACTTGATCGTCTTCTCAATAATTGCATTCGATTCATCTTCAACCTCCTCAAGTATGGCCATGTGTCTGCCTATCGATCCCAGCCGTCATGGTTACCAATACGTCAGCGCCGTAGCACGTGTGCACCTGCCATGCCCCTTACTGAACCATCTTAAGGTTGACTGGTTGATAATGCCATGTGACATTAAGTCCGCCTGGCTCAAGTTGTAATGCAGGAAGTGTAAAAAAAAAAAAAAAAAAACTAATTACATTCAACATATTATATTAATTTATAACTATTAAACTAAAGAAATGAAAAATTGGTCCATCCGTTTTGTACACAGGCACAAAGATACTCACGTTAAATTAAAACACTCCTCCTTTTTGCGCCGGGGGCTAAAATCAGCACAATTTTACCGCAAAACGGAGATTTGAAGTGAAAAATATAATTAAACGCTTTAACACCGAAGAGGAAACATTAAATCATGTTTGTACCACGTTAACGTGCTTTTCGCAATTAACTGCCGAGGTTCAGGTGAACGCCTTAAGCCGCTGTTTGACAAACGGCGGGAAGTGGCGCCACTATCGCGCGATCTTACACCTTCTCTGAGAAGTAGCGCAAACGTGCCGTAAATAAAGATGGCGGACGTTAAGGGCTTAGCGCATAAAGCGCCATTTATTATCACACCGCTACAACACAAAGTGTTTATTTAACGCTATATTGCTAAGCAGATCTCTTTGTAAATTACGTTGGTTTTACTGATGCTACGTGTAAGACAAATTATTTTAACACGCTATTTAACCTAGTTACCTAAGTATTTTAATAATTGATTGTAAGCGAATGCGAGCAAGCTAATGTAAAATAAAAAGTGAGTTTACTCAGAGGCCAATTTGAAAAATGGAAAAACTTTTATTACGAGAATTGGCCTGCAACCACCCGAACGGGAGACTACAAATCAAGGTCAAAATAATCTTGTGTACGTTTGTATTGTAATTACATTGTCGTTGAGGAGACATTGGATTCACAACACTAAAAACTTATGCTTAGTAAGGTTGTCATATCTTATGTTATTATATCCATAAATAACTACCGTACAACAACATACAAATATAATATTTTTATAATATATTTATTTAATATTTTTAATTTACTTGTTACATACGTTTAAGTAATATATACTTACCCATTTATTCCAATAAGCAGACAATTACACAAATATGTAATTCTAAAACCTAAATGTGAATCAAATTGTTAATTTTTAGTAAGTATTTTCTTTAATGCTATTCTTATTTTCTTAAAATAAAATTTCATTTATATACAAACAAATTGTAAAATAATAAAACTTAGAAACTAAAAAAGCTAAGAAAGAAACGTTACCTAAACGGGGGCAGTTAGCGTTAACGATTATTGCCGCTCCTCGCGCTATTTTGTTTAAATGATTTGTGTCTCACGATAGTCTACACACAAGTAACTTTTATTGTTTACAACATTTTTAATGACAATAAAATATCTCCCTGCTATAAACAAATTCTATTCGAGATAGCCGTTTAGTTGTACCGTAAGCGATATCTGAATTCATGCCGAATTTCTTTTAACTCTTGTTTTTACTAAAGTCTCAGAATTTTCAATCTAATAAGTCAGTTTTATGCGTTATATTCAAAAGCGTTTAATTTTATCTAAGTACCGAATACCTATTGTGCCAGTATCAGTATCAGAGTGACCTGGTGTTAATTTAATGCTAATAATAAGTATACCTACTGCAGTACATACATATAAAAAGATCTACGTAAGAATCTTCAACAATCAAAGTATGAGAGAATGCGAATAGTTAATTTTAAATTTAGAATGTTATGCTTATTTCTAACCAATGAACTACCTCTGTCCCAGTTAAGATGTCCATTTAGTTATTGTAACACAAAAACCAAATGGACGTCTTCAGCTTCAGCCATCAGGACAGCTTCAGCCATCGTAATGCACTACTTCTTCAGTAGCACAGTTGCTTTTATGAATCGCCAAGGCAAAAAATAGACACTTGATTATAATATTCAAAACTATGTAAACTTTGTTGTCCGCACTTTCGAACAGAAAAAAAAACAGCATTTGTCTAGCTGTTTCCTTCTACATAAAAAGTTTTTCCAGTTTGAGGGCATTAGTAACTTCCGGTATGAGTGTCACGATAAAAATACCAAACAAAACGTTAGTAGTAAAAGTAAACACAGTAAGTACGAGTATTATAATATTCATTTTGACAGAAATTGTGTTTTTCATTGTCATTTCAAACATTGTATTTTGTTGGAAAACTCGAGTCCAGTTCTCTAATACTCTTTACTGTCAGACTCAAATATTGCCAACAATATAGAGCTCTCATTTATTTATAACAGAATAACAATATATGTTTTGCAGCGGATAGATACGAAATTGTGAATATTTTTAATATTTCATATTGTTTATCATATGCTGTTTATGAATTTCTTTTACTTTCAAACTACAATCAATACTTGTGAATGTTACGATCGCAAGAATTAACAGAATTTATCTCAAGTTCTGAATATTCCAATGAATAAACGTATTCATCTGGTAATTTACAAAAATTATAAGAGGATTTCAGGTAACTCATTTGGCATCTTACTATGTTTTCTTTGAATTTCTGGACTATTCTAAGCCTTCTTCTCAATTCCACGATACAGTGAATCATCACACACCGGATTTCATTCTGGGTTTAGGGTTTCTTCAATAGCACATATTACAAGAATATGTGCTATTGAAGAATATTCAACAAACCGATGTCTTATCGTCAAAACGCTACTCAGTCGGAGTATTATTGATGTTGGCTTTATCTATGTATTTCAGCTCTAATTTTTTACTATTTATCTGAGTATAAAATAAAGTTTCTTTTTTTGGGTGCTTTTTAGTGCATTTTAAACAGCTCGCACCACAAATTTTAT